AGTTCAAATTTCGGGAGGCTAATCAGGGCCCAATTTGGAACCCTTTGAGCACTGTGGAGCGAAAATTTCAAATTTTGCATCAGTCTAATATACAAGTAATTGCCATGTATACCGGATATTCTAGGTTCTCCAAATCGTCCTGGAGTTTAGTTGATTTGTTCTTCTATATCAACCAAGACGACAATAATGTCTGTAGTATCGAAATATGGCCAAACAGATTCAAAGTGTCTATGTGGATCGTGCCCGACCTATTGCTAAGGAAATAAGATGTTGTAGGTTCTGAAATCATCCTGGAGATCAGATTATTTTTCTACAAGATCACCCAAGACTAATTCAATATCCGTAGTATCGAAATATGTCCTAACAAATTTGCAGTGTCTATGTGGATGTTCAAAGATTTACAAATAGATATTTCGATACTACAGATATTATCCCAGTCTTTGTTGATCTAGTTAAACAAATCATATGAACTGCAGGACGATTTGGAGAAACTAGATCATCTGGAATACGTGTAAATAAATCATACATTATCCATATAGACACTATGCATCTGTTTGGGCATATTTCGATACTACAGACATTATTCCAGTCATGGTTGATCTAGTAGAATAAATCATCTGAACTCCAGAATGATTTAGAGATCCTATAACATCTGGTATACATAGCAATAGTTCATGCATGGTCCACATAGACACTATGCATCTGTTTGGACATATTTCGATACTAAAGACATTGTCCCAATCTCGGTTGATCTACTAGATCACATTATCTGAACTCAAGGACGATTTGAAGAACCTACAACATCTGGATTACTCGGAAATAGATCATACATGATCCACATAGACAGTTTGAATCGGTTTGGACATTTTTCGATACTACAGACATTATTTCAGTCTTCGTTGATCTAGTAGAACAAATCGACTGATGGCCTGGACGATTTGGAAAACCAATAATCTCCGGTATACATAGTAATAAGTCGTGCGTGATCCACAAAGTTACATATAGGGTAACTGTTTTCGGCAACCAAAATTTAAACGTTAATTTCACTATGTTTTCCCATCAACGCACTTCCCTGAATGTGTCCAAACGATTGTTTAGCCTTTCAGCTTCAATCTGATTATATTTGAACGATCGAGCAATCCAGTAATGCTACATTTTTCTTCAAATAAAGCATACGCACTACAAAATGGGGTTGATTTCGAGTTGCCGATAATAGAACAGCTGGTTAACACGCAGTTCTAATGTGAAGGTTGCCGAAGAAAAAGAGGCTGCCGACAATAGTCACACTCACCTGAGAAGTTTGGAGCGTTGTAAAAACGCTTTCAAAACGTTTTGAAAAATTCTGTCGAATGGAATGGATAGAAAAGCAAGCAGCAGATGAATGTAAACAAACAGACACATCATATATGTGCGTGACGCTGAGAAAATGCTAGTAGAAGTGCAGACGCTGCTTAGATTGACGAGAATACGTAAATTCCCTTATACGATTCGGTTATGATTTGACCACGAAAAGGTTCATATTAGAAATAAAAAAATATCTTGAAAGTGTCTCAGTGTAAATACAGAATCGCGACGTGACCAACAAGTGTGACTTATGAAACTCTGGTAATTTCTCGATTATGTGCAGGGTGCTTGGTTTGAATCGGTAAACATTTGAGAAAACTAGAGCCAAATTAACTACAACATTTAGGACAGCAAAGTACGTCAGAGATGCAAAGGTCAATTTTAAAGAAAATTTGCATTTCAAATGAAAATAATCTCATAATGTAAGGGTGTTTTATTATGTTCACTTATTACTCAGAATGAAAACTATACATAAATAACTGAAGATGATATTTTTTTAAGTTTTTGAAGTTTACAAACGATACTCCTTTAGCTCAGTCGGTAAAGGCGTAGCTACAAAGCAAGTCCATGCTGGAGGCAACTGAGTTCCATTCCCGTCCGGTCTATTAATTTTTCGGGTTGGAAAATATCTCTACTTCCTTGGGCACAGGATGGTAAAGGCATAGAAAGCTCTTAATTAAAATGTGAAAGTACTTCAAAGACCACTAAGTTGAGAGCAGGCAAAAATCTAAAATGCTATAATCAATAAACTTGAAATGCCATGTAGTAGTATACAAATGGTATTTTTAGACAATGAAAACAGTTTTTTTTTGTCGCGGATTAGGGAAGAGCGCTACTTCGTCGTAATCGCCCATTTCCGTTCTATCGAGCAGAAATCATCAATAATTTCAATGATTTCACAATACACAAAACAATAATACGTTTGTTCTGATGCGTTAGTTCATTAGCTACAACATAAATCCTATTAGAGCGCATTGTATGCATATTTACGCTCATTGTTCTCAAAACAAAAGAAGCGCTCCTAGCGCATCCCCTTTTTCTCCGTTTATCCGTAGGACGAAGGAAATCTAATGGCGTTTCAATGCGTTTGGACGGAATTGAAACGCGTAGGACGAATTTAGAAGCAAGAAGCAGTGTTAGATTTTTAATAATATCTCAACATTGTTTGACTCTTTATCAAATCCAACGGTACGTATGGAAAGGTGGATAAATTTAGAAGTTATCTTTGATGAAAACATTCCATGTTTTGTTCAAACCCTTTCCAAAAAGCGTGGTAAAGTGCGCGATGTCCTTAGTAGGACGGAAATTAGATCAAAAACCCTAGTATTTGAGTTCTTTTGAGAAATCGTGGATTTCGCGGATCAAATTTAGAAAATCTTGTAACAGTCCTGGAAATCGCTTTTTGCAGGCAATCGGTGATAATTTTAATTCCTATAGCAACAGTTGTACATTCGTGCTATTTTCAATAGTGACATTTTGAAAAAAATGATTAAGTCTCAGCAGATGCATAGACAAATTTCTGATCGATTGGTGGTAAAATTATTGGAATTGGTCCAGGGGCAGCTGAGTTATTAACGTTCAAAATCTTTCATAATTTTGTTACATGTTTCATTTTCGGTTTTCACATTGTGTACCCCCATATAGAAATCACAGACGTAGTCCTACGTCAAAAAAAGTTTGTGTCCGACACGTTGATATCATTCATGTGTGGGACACATAAAAACAATCTTTTAAATTTTCTTAGCGTAGGATTTTGTCGTAATTTGTCCAGAATAGATCAGATGCGAATCAACTCATAAATTTTGAACAAGTGTTCATGGCTTGACTAAACGTTTTTCGCGAACATGGGAACAGGTGTCAGTAGTGTGCTTTGAGCAGAAATTTCATGGAAATTTCTATGTTCATTTATGTCGATTTGTCGTTGGAATGAATCTATTTTTTGAGAGCCATATACAGTCACCCCAGTATTATGGGCCAGCTACCCGCATAATCAATAACCATAAGATGCGCCTAACCACCAATTCGGGATATAATTCTAACTTTATGTGGTACGGTCGTACCATCTATGATATCGTTAGTTAGGGTAGTCACTATTATGGGTCAGTTAGTTCTGCGTGTTTATCGAATGGAAGTGGCCCATAATTGTGGGTGACCCATAATACCATAATTTTCATGCAGAACAGGGGGAATTCGGCCCAAGTCACCAAGCTCCCTTTTACGTGGTTTTGAACATGATGACAATTGGTTCGCTCAATAGTTTTCACACCAGGCAGGTGCAGTTTTTTTTGCTGGTCATATTCGTTTTTAACTATCAGAACCCCAAGGGTGCTAAGAGCGTGGCGATGCTGTGAACAAGCACGCTTCTCGGCAACAAGACAGGCATGCTGTGTCGCATTACGCACCCTTGGGGTTCTGTTAGTTAATATAGTTGAATAATTTTCGTGCACTGCAAGGAAAATTCGAGGAAAATAATCTGCAAACTCAGTGGATTTTGAACGTGGTGAATTTGACTCCCTTGCATTATTAAGTCTTAAAATGGTCTGAATTATCCATCAAGTTTGGAAAATCGGTTGTTATTCGGAGATTTGACCATTTTCCGTCACCTACCGTTGACCAATCGATTTCTCGTGAATTTATACACTTGAATAGTTCATTTGGGCCCGATTTTGCCCAATGCGCATTGGGCTAATGCTCATAGTTACTCAAGTAAGAATTTTTCAATTCTTTGAAAATTACTGTCACTGTCCATGTTGTTATATTTTGAAACGTTAGGCCATTTTTTCCAGAAGTCAACGTCATTCTCAACGTATCAAAATTTACGTCACACATCTTATAAATTCGACCTACGTTAGCATCAGTTGATCGGGTTATGTTATGTCACGTGCTGCAAAAAGGGGGATGAGGGAACCTTCTCGCAAATACATGAAATAATCTGACGTTATTTTCCGCATCCACCTACCGTTTATCAGCAGCAAACAGCAGTCTCGCTTTCGGGGAAATTTACGTTCAAAAGGCTTGTCGAACGTACGAGAAGGCAGAGATTGCGCAAATTATAAACATGCGTACCCACCGTCGCGGTTCGAGCTCAAAATTTAACTTTTCTGTGAATGCGAAGATGAGATACCAATTATTTAATCAAAAAACATATGCGTTGATTACGATCCACTGCTGATTGTGCTTGGTTATGATGGAAATTATTATAATGACGCAGTTATTAGTCTGTTGTTAGTAATGTATGATAGCTGTGGTTAGAATGATCCGTTCCCAGTAAAATTTCCGTTCCGATGTTCTCTTTGACACGTTATTCCATCGCAAAACACATATAAATCCTTCATTTTACAGACACTCAAATTTGATTTCTTCATTTCCTAATCTGATTAAAAAAAAAAAAACTCGAAAAAATCTGCATCTTGCACTGCATACTCTTATTTTGCTCCTACAGTTTTTCTTCAATTTTATGATTTGATATCACCTTGCTGTTCCGTAGCCGTTGTGTGTTTGTAACACCTAGTAGATGTTATATCTTTTCTTCCATTGAATGATTGACACTTTTTTTTTAATTGATAGAGTGTAGAGCATTACTGATTCGAATAAACTATCCAAACTTATTCTATCACCCTTCCCTTCGATGTTATTGTGTATATTCGTATCATTAGACGATCTGGAAGTAGAGTTTGTCAATAGTCTCCAGTCGACGCAGCAGGAGATGATGACCAAGCTGGCGGTAATCGAATCGGACGGTCAGGTAGTGGGCACGAACGGTGGACCCAGCGTCAACGGAGTCGTCGACGAAGCCAACGACCCAAAGCCGGAACCGAAGAAGAAGGAATCCCGCAAGTGGAAGAACTGGGGCTGGAAGACTAACATGAACACCACACCGAAGCAGACCAGCATCGAGGAGGAGGGTGATTCTCCGAAAAAGTCCGCCTCATCGAAGCATTCTAGCCCGGCAGAATCGCCCAAGCACAAGATAATGGGCGCGAAAGCGGAAGACTTCAACGACATATCGCCGGCATCGCTGAGGCGGAAGAAGTTCCTCACCAGCAAGAACCAGTCGCCGGTTAATCGATCGGAAGCGCGGGCCAGTGCCGGGGCTCGGCTGTACGAGGAACTGGACAGTTTGCAAGACTCGGACGACGAACTGCAGGCTTTGATCATCAATGGACGCCCCGCAACGATACATCTCATCCAACCGTCTACGATACCGGGTCTTTATTGAGGAGAGATTCCTCTCTCACGCTGCAAAATCAAGTGCTTCTGCTAAACGAAGAAAATCGAACATCTCGAATGCCTGTGTTAAAATTAGCAATATGACGACGCCACTACAGCCTAAACACCGCAGTCTGTAAGAATCCCTAGAATCTCGAATCAACGCACATTTTTCATCACAGAACAAACGGTAAACAACGAATTGCTAGTAACAGTCACGTTCAACGACAACAGAAGAGAATTCTTTTTTTGCGTCCGTTAAAAAAAATGCATTATTTCCATTAACCCACATCATATTCGACCTTTGGAACTCCCACGGTCTACGGCTGGCAGAAAAACGGCATCTCACCCAGGTATGGAGCATACATAAAAAAAAAATACTTCTAATATTAGTTCCTTATTTACCGCGCCTGAAAGTCTGCTTTCGGTTTTGTTGTTTGCTTCCGTTTACTTTTATTTTCTGCGATGTTTCCTCATTTTTAACCTAACAACCAGCAGCTGGTAGAGTGAATGAATAGTCTGCCACGCAATAGGTAAACGGTCCATCGCAGTCGCACATTGCGACAATTGCAATTGGGTTCCGCCTTCGCAAGTTTCCTGTGAAGACATTTTACGCTCTGTTGATCATTTATTGCATTCTACTACGATGTTACGCTTTGCGTTGGGTGGGAATCTTGGCTCCGTACCGGATGAATAAGCTGTTCGTGGAAGCTCAGTTGAAGACGAAACCCTAACGCTTATGCTTCCTTACAAACATATGCTGCGTTTCTTTGCTTGCATTGGATTGATGACACCAAGAAGTGGTTAATTGAAATCGTCAAGAAAAAGGTCAAAAACTCAAGCTATAATTATTCAGGGATTAAAAGAAAATTTAGTCAAAATTTGATGCGATAGTAAATTGATATACGTGCCACGATTGTCATTTGTTTGGTCTGAGAATCGTATGGCGCTTATGGGCTGTTTACACATACGCTGGTTCACTAGCTCAACCAGCTCAACCAACTGGAACGAATTTCAGTTGCTCCTGAAATCTCGTGTTGGTAGATGCTGACGCCCTGTTTACATTAGGCTGACTACTTTTGAATACAGTTCTAGTACACTATGTGGTGTTAACATCTGCGGTGGTTTGCTAGCGCTAGTGTTCTAGGTCTGAACTAAAAAATAGTCAGCATAATGTAAACAGGGCGTCAGCATCTACCAGCTTGAGATTTCTGGGACAACTGAAATTCATGCTAGTTGGTTGAGCTGGTTGGGCTAGCGAACTAGTGTTAGTGTAAACACCCCATTAAAGAGGATGATTACAAGAGCAAATTTTCATTATGTCGAAAGTAACATTCGCACCGATCCGAGAAAAATAAAGTTTTGTTTTGATGACCGAAAAGTTATTTCTATTTCCGATTAAGGTGAATTGGGGGATCACTTGATTAATCACCACGGTTATGTATTTGTGCGATAATAATCATTGACCATGTCACTGTGTGTGTGAGATGAAATTGTTTGTTTACTCTGGAATCATCGAAGCTGCAATTTTTCTTTGTCAACATAACCTCCATTTCGTGATATAGTAATTCACCCTACAGGGTTAGAAAGAAAACATTAACAGTTAAGATTCCTATAGCGCGGTTAAGGGGTGACGCCTACCTGCAAGGCCAAAAAAAGCGTAATTTTGAATATTTTTTTCTTGGCAAGACATATTTCAAATCGGTTTTCACTCCTTTATTGCTCTAACATTCGTCTTTGAAAATCAATATATAACCAGTTTTTTGGTGGTGTTAGATTGCCAGGACGCCGCTTCTAAGAGGAGACCTTTTAAAAAAGGTGTTTTGCGGTGACCACGCTAGCACGAGCAGAGTTTATCTGATACCAAAAAATTCAACGGGGTTTCGTTAACAATAAGTGAATTAAGGCTTCGATCGTCGGGTTTCGAAAACAAATGTTGTTTGACAAAATGGCGGCTTTTTAAAGTAAAAAAACTTAAAAAACTGCCAAAAAATTGTCTTTAATTGGCTCGCAAAAATCGTATACAAACAACAAGCGAAATCCGAACGATCGAAGCCTTAAAAATATAGTCCTTAACAGTTTAGAAAAACAACTGAGCGAATCGAACGTACTACATGAATTCCTAAAAACGTGGAGGGTGGTGCCGTATATCCACCGCTATTTATAGGGTATTCCCCAATTAAATGAGCAGCACCACCCACACCCCACGGCACATTCCTTTATTGCATACCTTATTGCTGATTTACGACTAGCCATTCCAGTTGGCAATGTTAATGCATCAAAGTTGGCGTATATTTTCAGCATTACTTTTTCGATGGATTTGTCATTTCGGGGCTCGAAATCGGAATTGTATGGTTTGCAAGTCGGTGTCTGTTGGCTGCGTTGGTTGAACTCGACAGTCTTCTTACAGGCAGGGCAGTTACAAACCGCCAGAGATGAACTAGCCTCAGGCTAAAAATCTCTAAAATAAAGGAAAAAAAAAAAAAAAAAAAAGTTACAAACCGCCAACGGATCTAATTCAGCGGATTTCATTGGAGGACCTCCTGGAATGCTCATAATCACGGTTTCGGAGCGAGTCAAAGAAACTGCTTTCTTCGGTTTCGTTGCGGCGAAGCTTTCTTCAAATCGACCGCCTGAAAACAGTATTCAAATTAGTGCAGTTCTCGAAATTATCAACCACATATACTTGTCGGTGCGCATTTTTGAATCTCCCCCAACTATACGTAGGCCTGTTTCGTCCCTCGCAAGAGATGGTGAACCTAGTTCGAGGTCAATAGGACATTCATCTATAAGTCCTGATGTTAGCTCATCAGTATCCAGGAGGCGTTCGCTATTCACTTCGGCTTGATGTGACCAGAAGAATTCAGTCTCGTGTGACGGAGGGAGTAATTCAATTTCAACCATCGCCGGTAAGGCAATTTCGCCAGGACCCGTATGCAGCATCAACAGGTTTTCCGAATGCGGTAGTGAAATTTCTTCTACATCACGCGTCGTATAGCTATCTGCTGCTGTTTGGGTGTCATATTCTGCAAGAAAAACGTTCTAAGTGATACGAAGAGAAAATTAAATGAACTCTTACCTTTACGGATTATTTCTTCCCAGCCCATGTTTGCATTCTCGTGTGGGACAGGGTCTATTGAAAGATCTCCGACACGGACGTTGTGTTTGTCTCCCATCTGCTTTTCGTGGGAAATTGATGACCGGACCAAAGAATGATCTCCTCCGTCATTTGCAAGGAGCGGCGTACCTGGCTCAAGATCGATGGGAAAATCATCTCTGATTCTTGTCGGGCTTGTGGACAGGAGATGTTCGATATCCGCTTCGGGTTGGTAGCACCAAAAGGATTCTGTTCCATCTAACGGAAACGGAGATTGCAATTGCCTCCCATCCATCTGCAGTAAAGCGGTATCGTCAGGATCCGGTAGCATGGAAAGGTTTTCGTGATACGACATTGGAATTTCCTGTAGATCGCTTGCTGAATAGGTATCCGCTGATCGCAGAGTATGATGTTCTGGATGTTCTAAAAAAAAAGTTATCACGAAGTGAAACTAAACGTATTAAAAGCAATCTTACCTTCATCAGTTACGCCTTCCAGCTCCACGTAATCTACTTCGTCTATATCAGGATCTGTAGGGGGATCTCCGGAACAAACGGTAGCCTGGTTCGTTTGCTTTTTCCGGGAGATCCATCGTAAAAACGCTGCTTTACGTTTTTTCGAAACTTGCGGCATGTTGATTTCGCACTGTTTATATTTACATTTTGAAACCTGTCAAAATCAGCTGGACGGTCAGACGGCAGTGTGGCCAGATGGTCAGTGCAAATTTGATTAAGAAATTGTTTATTTATTTTTTTAACATTAATTACAAAAAATGAATTCAAAATAAAAAAAAATATTATGTTGTGATAACAGTTGACTATTAAAACATTTTTTTTTAATTTTCAAAGCAAAAACGCATTTTTAATATAATTTTCTTGGAAAGCAAATTGACATCACTGGACGTGATGATTGATGATTGCTTACGCACATTGTTGCATGCAGAGTGTATAGTAAACACGAATCGATTTTTTTCTGTTTGATTCATGAATCAATATTTTTTTGTAAAAATAAGTGAAATTGGTGCAGTTTTGGCTACAATAAACATCAGACCAGGTAATTAGTTGTTGCAGAAGTGCTGTGATGCAGTACAGCAGTTGTTTTATAAGTGGATATTTGAAAACGGAATGAAACAAATTTTGTGGAAAAAGTGAACAGGGATACAACAACAAGTGTATCAAGAAGAAGCAGAATCGGAACATTGATTCGTGTGATAAAAATAGCAATGCTACATGTTTTTTAGTGACTTTTCTTAGCTGGAATATATGTAATTAAGTGTCTAGTATGTTGTCATGCAATATTTCCCAGAACAATAAGACATATTGTGCACATATTCAGTTTTTGACTAATTGGTGATTTTTCACACACACTTTGATGGCTTCTTCTTCTTCTTCTTCTTCTTCTTCTTCTTCTTCTTCTTCTTTACTGATTTGAAGAGGCGCCATACTTAATTGACTTCCCAATTCACGTCTCCTTACGTGCAGCCCATTAATCATTTGAGGACCACCTAAATCATTTTAGCAACAAACAGTTCGATTTATTCACTTTAATAATGAGAAAGCGAAACGACGAACGTACACTTTTCACGGGTTTCTCTGTGCTGTTACTTACGACAAACGGCATCTTCATAGAAATCGGGTGACTTAAGTATTGTTGATTTCACACCTCATTAGACCCCTGCGCTCATAATAAGTACACAGTACTATTTCCACACTGGTAATTAAATTCAAATATTGACCTTCTTGATGTTTTCTAGAGCTCCAATTCAGTAGTGTAGCTTGCCAATGCTGCTACTGCTGTCAAATTAGTCGCTTTTGCAATTTCATGACCTGTGCGAAAATATTACTCTGCCATTATTTTTTGCACAAGAATCTAAAGTGGTGCAAAATGCGGAATAACATCGAA